AAGTAAGAGCCTTCTATAACTCTGGAGTAATAAAATCTGTTTTAACAGTTGATTAATCTTTGAATGCCTAGCAACCACCCAAGCACTTGGGAAACTTGGGTGGAAGTTGAAGGAGTTCTTATGAAAATTGGGACTGAAATCTGATAATTGGCAACTTGTGAGCCAAAATTAGTAGGAACTAGGATAATCCTTCTTGCTTAGTACTCTCACTGATGCAGATGGATTTTCATTGAAAAATTATCTATAGAAATAGTTAGGCCTCTGGATTTTATTCTTTCACTTCAAGTTTTTTATTTTTATTTTCTATTTTTACTATTATTATTGGTTTATTATTTTTGGTACCAGGAATCCAACTCAGGACCTCACACTCACCAGGAAGGCGCTGGGTTGCTGATGTATATCCCCAGCCCTATCACTTAAAGTCTTAACTTTCAGTTTTTTAAATAATCCTACTAATATCCTTGGGAACTAGGGAATCTAGTGTTAAAATATTGCATGTTGTGGCCGGAACAATATTCACATATAACTTGCCATTCATAAATTTGGTCTGAACAAGATTACAACCCCGCCCCCCAGATTGTGTTTGAAACTTATTTTAGGAATATTTCTTCAGTAGTGAATATATATCCACAGGATGACTATATATCCCATAAATGTTGTTCTCAGTATTAAATGACTACTAGATTTAAATAGTTGCAAACTTGATGACTATTTCCTGAGTACTGATACGAATATTGATAAAGACAGAATCACTCTGATAGTTTCCTAGACTACGTCAATGTCAGAGTGATTCATTGTGTTTGTGAAGGTGCTTGATTTAAAAGAATATTTTTCAAATTAAAATTCTTAAAAGTATAAGTGAAAAAACCTGTGTTTGTAACCCAATGAAGCTCTGAAATCTCTTTAAATTCATTATAATATATACAAAAATTGACATAGGTCAGAAACAATAGAAAGGCATTAAGCAGACCTATTTTTATATCACGTGCATATACTCATTTCTGATGTGACAGTTACCTTTTAAGATGTATCACTTTTGTAGGTACTTAAATGCTGACTCACTGTGGATTCTTTATAGATTTTATACGGAGAGAATGAATGTAGTTTTTAACTGTTCTTCCCACAGGAAAGTGGTTGACTTCTGTCCCTCACATACTGTCAAACATAAAATATGATGCTTCCCTTTTAAATGATCCAGTTGCTAAAACTCCTCATTCAGCATGCAAGTGTTATTAGTAGGGGTCAAAATGGAAAACTGTTTCTCTTCCTTTATGGTATGTTCTTAACCAATAGATTGATATAATATTTTATCCACCGTAATAATGAATGTTACTTAGAGATGGCACAGATTTATGAAATGTGATATTTTCCCACAAAGTTGTAACAATTTATATAAGTAGGTAAAATAACAAGGTTTGATATAGGTAATTGTGTGATGCATTCTGATTTATATATATTACATATACAATACATGTAATGTGTGTGTGTGTATATATATATATATATTACATAGCCATTTTTCCCCATAAACTTCCAAAAGGAGTAATACTGAAGACTATAATGTGGAAAAAATACCAAGGTAAAAACATGGCGAACTAGAAGATCTAACATTCAATGCAGTTAAAATTATAGTCATACTAGTAAAATGACTAATAGTAAAATATCTGAATGATTGATTTTTTTTCCCAGTGATTTGAACAGATACTTTGACATTTAAAAAATTCAAGTACAGAGATTTCTGGCACCAATAAAAACTTTCAGAAGTGTTTGTTTTTACAATTAAAACCCTAGTTCACCATTAAAAATAGTTGTTCCTTACAATGCTAAGTCAAAATTATAGAATCTTCCCTATCTAGTGTGTCTATTTTGCTGTAGACAAAGTAGCCTTTTTCATGACTGGTAAGTGACTATAAAGTAGCTACCAAAATAAATACAGGGCAGTGACATTCGTCTCGCTTCTTTCAAAACATGGTTCTTAAAATTAAATAAGATTGCAACAAAGAAGTCATTGGGAGCACTGCCACAGTAGGAGAATGTGGTGTGGGACAGTCTGTATAATACGTATTCAGTAGAAGCTTTTTGCGTAGTTGGTCTTTATATCAGCAAATAAGTTAGAATATACTGCAGAAATAATTTATGTAACATGTACTCTCCTTGGCCCTATAGAAGTCAAGAGCTACATGGACGGAAACCTTTATAATGCTTCAAACTGGGTGCTTATTATAGCGTCCATAAGTAATGCTGCGTATACATTATATTTCAATAGAGACTTTGTAAGGTAGTAACTGGTTGTTTTTTTTTTTTTTTTTTTTTTTTTTTTTTTTTTTTTTAAACCAAATGTCCTAGTTCATTGAGCCTTCCAGGAGTTCAAAGAAGAGAAGCCTCACTTTAAATTTGGCTTAATGAAAAAAATCACCATGAGAAGTTTGGGGACTTAGTGTCGTCTTGGATTCTGCTTTCCTCCCCCATGTGTTTGGCTGTCTTTTTGTTTGTTTGTTTGTCTTACTTTGCTCACTGCTTCTTTTTCATGTGACCATTAGATACTGGAATTCTTTAAGACTATTGGTATTTTCTTCTTCTTTCTCCTTAAATAGTCTCATCTAGTCCTTAGCTGTCATTGCCCTTTTTGTACAAGAAAAGTGTGCATATGTGATCTCCAGAGTAAGCCTCTTCTGGGAACGCTGTACCTAACTGCTTCCCCTCCAGAGTCTTAAATACACCCATTACATGAAATACCTACAAGACAATAATGCATGGTCTTCCCTCCTAAGCTGACACCTAACTAACCTTTCCTAGTTTAGAGCATGATGCTGCCATCCAACCAGTTTAAAATCCCTCTGCTCATCCATACCCCACATCCAGTTTACCATCATATTTTGTACATTTTACTTCTAAAGAAACTGAAGTCATTTGATTCACTCCCACAGCCTTCATCCGTTACAGTTTCCTTCTACATGCATAAACTGATGTCTACCAACAAAAATCCTCTTACCTATTTCAACACTAAAATCTAAGATTACGTTTTTCAAGATCCAACTGTAATGTGAAAAGAGAAACTTACCTGAAAAGTCTATATACTGTACGATTCTAATTATATGACATTATGCAAAGGGACTTTGGAGAGAGCAGAGGGTTAGTTTTGCCAGGGACTAGGGGAAAGGAAGGGCTAAATGGACAGAACATTGGGGAATTGTTACAATATCAAATCTACTATGTGTAATACTATAAGGATGACTACATGTCTTACATATTTGTGAGAAACTATAGAATGTACAGAAAATGTGAATCACATATAACCTAAGAACAGGGCTGAAGATGATGTGCCAGTGTTAGCTCACCGATTATAAGAAATGTAGCACTCTAGTGCAGATTAGTGAAGGAGATTGTGTGTGTGTGAGGGCTGCTTCCTGCTCAATGTGCTGTAACTCTAGAACCACACTATAAATAGTCTATTTATGAGTTTACTCTGATTTTGCTTCTCAACTCGTGAACATGCCTCATTACTTTTGCAATGGTGCTAAAACAATTGGATTAAATCCCTGGCACACTGCATCTACCTCTGAAACTTTTATGTCTCTTTCAAGTCTGCACAGTATACCTGCAGTTCCTCTAGTGAGCTTTTGCTCACCCTCCTCCTTCTGCCTAATCAATATCTCCTTATTCTCTACATAGACTCACTGTCATTAGCTAAGGGAAGACTTCTTTGATGTCTGTATCCTTCTGGGAAATTATATGCTTTGCTGTATCTTGCATATTAAATAACCTAACAGCTTTTATTACTATTACAGTTAAGCACTTATAAAAATTAAAATTTCAAGGTTATTTGTTAATACTCTGTCCTCATTACTAGACTATGAACATTGTGCAATGATACTCTGTGTATTTTTGCTCACAACTAAGCTTAATATAGGGTCATTCCAATGCAGGCATTTAGTAAATATTTGTCGCATGAATGCATATATGAAACAATAAGGATTGTTGGAATCAAGTTTGTTCGGTGTGCTCTCTAAACATTAGACATTTAGAAATCACTGAAATATATATAAATCTCTCAGCAGAGGTCTTTTTGAACATGTATTTTAAAAAGTTTCATCACAGCAGAAACTTTTAAACTTTAAGCATCTATATTTTATAAGGATTTTCAGATCTGTGAGCTCTTGTGATCCCAGATAGATGCATTGCTCTGTGAGGCATTGCGAGCTGAATGTGAACAATATGAAAGTGTTAATTTTTAAAACAATTCACATAACTTTATTTAATAAAATCATATATTTACAATTCATGAAGTTTACTTTGATACACATTACTAAATAAGATTAAAGGTTATTGAACAAGCAATTATGACATGATATATAGGTAGTGTTCCCAGGAGTTTTCTACCAGCAAACTATTTGAAAGTCAAAAACTGAGCAGTTACAAAGTACTTTGGAGATGCACAGGATTGCCAGGAGACCTCAGGGACCAGTGGAGGACAAATTGCAGCCCTGACCAAAATAAATAAAATAAAGTGATAATAAAGTGATGTTGGACTTCTGTCCACCTCCAGTGTCTTCTTTCAAGTCCTGGCAAATTCTCTGTTGGTGAGATGCTCTTTAAGGAAGTGTTCATTAAACTCATTGTGTGGCCCTGGGAGCAATCTGGAATTCCTTTGAAAGCAGCCAGCACTACTGTCAAAATATGATAGGATGCCTTGTAGCAAGTGCATGTGGCAGCTGTTGCATATGGTCTGACTTTATTTATAAACATTTAAGATGGAGCAACAATTTCCATACTTTCCAGGTAATCTAAGTAATTTATCTTAATTACCGTCAGCCTTTGTGACTACCACGGGGACTCTAATCTTTCTAATCAGTGGTAATTATGTGAATTAGTAATAAATTTTCAGACAGGTAGCTCTCTGATATGTACATTTTTCTGTTTAAAATTATACACATGCACACACGTGCGTACACAAACACATATGAATACATATTCTTAATGAGCGCCTTTTCTTATTACAGTCGATCCTTTCCCATGGTACTGTTGAAGACTGTGCGGTGGTTGGCAAGGAGGATGCTTTGAAAGGTCATGTCCCCTTAGCAATCTGTGTGTTGAAGAAAGGTGAGACATCTTTGTCCTTCCTCATCGTTTGAGCCTGAATGATTAACTCAAATTAATTCATTTCTTACCATTTCAACTTCCCCCCAGGCATAAATGAAACAGAGCAACAAGTTTTAGAAGAAATCGTGAAACACGTCAGACAGAGCATTGGCCCTGTTGCAGCTTTTAGAAATGCAGTGTTTGTTAAACAGTTGCCCAAAACCAGATCTGGCAAAATTCCTCGATCTACCCTATCTGCCTTAGTGAATGGCAAGCCATATAATGTAAGTTAACAAGGATATTTAATACTGAATTCTGAATTGCTTTTCACCATTTCTTTCGCATCAACAAAACTCTTAAGATGGTTCTCAAACATAGATTGTTTGGCATGACTTTTTTTTTTAATATTAAGAAAAATTACATAACTCCTCTCTGTAGGATGAGGGTTGAGAAGGAAAGGCAGGTTAGTTAAAAACATGTCCTTTACTTATAAGACCAGTGTATGAAAATATATTTTTACTATTAGTAGTTATTCTAGTTGAATTCAAAGTTAAATTATGCAAACTCAACCTTGTTGATTAATGGTACATTTTCCTTCATTGAAGTCATTCATGACTATTAGTGATTGAGAAAGCAAAATATTTGAGGCTTACAACAGGTGATTAAAATGTTCTAATTGATGTATGTGTTATTCCTGTTCTGAATGAAATTTAAGAAACTTCAGATTGATTCTATTATAGATTGTATGCACAACCTCTGTGGATAGATATAAATATTTTATGAATAACATCTAATAAAAAGTAATGTAACAGTAAAGAGGTTTGGGTATGAGCGCATATATATCAAAACAAGAAGAAAGTAATGTTATAGAAATATGTGGAAAGCCTCTTAAAAAGAACTCTAAAGTATCATCCATGATAATGGTTTTGTTCATCGAACCATGTATTTGTTACTTCAGAAGGCTATAGATTTTTTTAAAAAAATCTATATTTTAAAAATCAAATGTTCAGATTTTTTTCTCCATTTTATATAGTTTGCAGTAGTTTTGTAAGATAATGTGACATAGTTCACTGCATACAGTTATTTTGTGATAGTAAGTGTAGAGTGATATTCATCTGAAATTAAGTTTCTTTGCAGGTAACTCCCACAATCGAAGACCCCAGCCTTTTTGGGCACATAGAAGACGTGCTGAAAAAGTCATCGTGATTTTTGCTTCTTTTATGATTTGGATTGAGTTGATTTTATAATTGAAATTAAGTTATTTGAGGTTTTTTTCTCAGAAATAAAAATTTACATAGAAATTACTTGTCACTTGAAATGTGAAATGTAAAACTTCTATCGAATCAATCCAATAAAGAATAGTGAAAGAACTTGTCTGATTTGACCCAATCATATGGTTTTCAGTTGTCTGTAATACAGCTCTCTCGGTGTTGTCCAGTTTTGTGAGAAAAAAATGTACTCATTTTATGAATTTTAAAAATTGTTCCCCAAGAAATATCCTGTAATTGGAAGTGGCTCTTATAAATATATCCTGACAAAAATTAAAACACCAAATTCAAAGTTGAAAAATACTTAAAATTGCTCTTGTAGAAAGTCTTAATACTTGCTAATATTCTGTTGATACCTGCATTTTAAAAAATGAAATAGATAAAACGAGGAGTTTTAGGTAACCATGTAGACAGCTAAAGCTATTGTCTAGGTGGGAAGACCCATGTGACCATAGATTTCCTGAGGGAAAGCAGGAAGCCTGTTACAGCTCTGCCTTCTGGTCGTTTGTTTGTTAGACATGTCTGTAAGAGAAGTGGAAGGTTATGCAACCCAGTCTTTTCATCCTGGGAGATGTATGCTTCCCAATGATTCTGACTTTGTTACAGAGTCAAGTAAATAACACACAAATAAAGGAGAGTGGCAAGGAAAACTCTTAAGAAAGAAAAGTCAAGACTGCATTTCAGGTGACTGTGGAATGTTGAAGACCAGAGAGCACCTGCTCCAACCAAGGACAGCCATACCTGCTCCTGGAAAGATGTGTGATAGGAAAGAGGCAGCCAGATCTTCTACTCTTCAGCTTTCCAAAAGAAGCCAAAAAATCCATCTTCTTTTGTGAAAACTACAATTTTTGCATAAATGATGACACAAGTAAGGATTATGTCAAAGGATATCTTCACATTTAAACTTCTACAAAACCAGGAAGCCTTTTTAATAGAAATTTAAAACATCTCTAATAAGTTCATGGTAATGTAATGAATGACTGAAGTAGATATAAGGAAGTAATTGACTGTTTGATTTATTTAGCGGTCTACATGCATCCATGTCCAAAGAACAGATTTAACTACTAAAATGTGCACCATGCCCACTGAATTTGACAAGTCTCAAAGTATTTCTCAATCTTTTAGTCATTTGGGAATATCATTATCAAGAACACATTGTCCTAACATAATAGTTTGGGTACAGGAAATATATATGATAATAGATAAGAATTTACTTATGTCATAGAAATTACAATAAAAATAAGTGTTTTCTCAAAGAACATTGCTACTTGCTTAAACTGCCTTCTTGATTGTAATACCTGAGAAAATATATTCAAATTTAATTATTTTCATAGTCTGATATTATACAACTAAGTAGATGCTGTATAATTTGAAATTATTGGTTTTTCTGGTTATCTTTTTTATTGGATATATTTTTTCTATTATCAAAACTGTAGAACTTACAAATAAACTATTTTAATGTCTTAGCATTCAAATGTATTTCTGTATTTTTTTCCTACATGAATCAGTTAACCTGAAAAGGCAAGCTAACAGAATATGAGTTTTTATTTATTTGTGAGTTACGAGCTCGGGCAGATCCAAGAATTGAGTAAAAGTTGCATCTCTTGTCCTCTTGCATATTTTCCTTGGTAATCTCATCTGAAGAGACATTTCATCAAGCAGGCTTGGGTTATTTCCCAGTTCTGTGGGTCTGGAAAGCACTGCATGAGATTGAGAAAGTAACCATTTCTTGCTTCTCATTGAGGAAATTTATCACCTTGCAGAGTCAGAGAGACTGTTACTTCCATGTGCCTAAAAACAGACCAACAAAGGTCCACTCAAATCATCAGACTGCTTATAAAGTGGGAGTAAACTAAAGAAAACTTTCTATTTTAATACTTACTATAAAGCATTTTTACTTAACAGTATCTGAAATATTTTGAGTTAAGTTATCTTTTAATACAACAATATGTTGTAGAACATGCAGTCATACTAAGTTTGGCAAAATAAATTTTGTGTGACTGCTTTTTGTATTTTCATGGAATTTTTTATTGTAAAACATCAGGAAAATGAAAATAAAAGATAACTTCAAAGATGTGTAGAAAAGCATTTACCAAGAATCTTATATTTTAAGAAGCAGTTTTAGTTATCTAAAACTATTTGAAAGGTCTGATCACTAAAAATGTCACAGTTCATAACAGTGATGGTCAAAAGGGAAAATACTGAGATTCTAAATTCAGTACATGAAATGGATGTTAGAACCTAGCAGAAGTTTTCTTACAAACTAAAAGCACGTTTTATGCTTTTCTGAGGGAAGTAGCTGGATCTTTTTTATCACTGTATGTTAGAGTCTGTTACAGATGATTTATACTGCTTAGTTGATCTCTAAAAGGAAAAGACTGACTTTAGTTTAGTGAGTGCTTTCTACCGTTCCTGTATTTTCTGATTTCTTAGGTTAAAGGCTTGGGCAGGTGACTGGTACTGGAAGGTGCTGTGGGTCTGGAGTAGGAGCTCAAAGGTCATGAGGTCCCTGGGGGAGAAGCCTTCAAGGGGAATGGTGGGGCAGTGGCCCTTCTCTCTCACTGGACTCTTAAGCCAGGAGACTTGCAGTGTGCCTCCTCAATGCGTTCCACCATTGCCATCCCACGTGCTCACCAGAGGCTCAAAACAATTGATCCTCTTGATCGCTGACTGTAAGCTCCAAAATCACGTGAGTCAAAACAAGCCTCCTGTCTATATAAGCTAATTATCACAGACATTTGTAGTGATACGAATTTTAACAAAAGATAGGGAATAAAGACAGATTTATTGGGACATTTTAATATCATAGTTTCTGTATTATATTTTGTTTCTATGAATCCTCATTTTCAGGTGAGTATAGAAAGCTCCTTCCCATTGTTTCTGCTCAAGCACCATTCAAGGAAAAATGCAATTGTTTCATAAGCTAGTTTAGTGCTCCCTCTTGTGGCAGACTAAGTATTGAAGTGAAATATTAGATTCTGACAGTCACTGAAAGAATGGTTTTCATCAAAGCTCAGTAGTAAAATGTTGTATCACTAGAAACAAAGCTTAAACAGAGAACTGGAAGTACTTTTTTATTGACAATGGAGAGGATTTCTGTTACCATTACCTTTTGACTGAATCTGTTAAACAAAAATAGACATCAAAACAAATTCAATGTACGTGCAAACATAGCAAATTAAAATACAAAAAAGAAATCAACTAATGACAGGTTTTGAGTTTAATAAGACCAAGCAGCAGAAAATCAGCAGTTAGATAAATGGTATTATTAAATAAGTTTTACTTTGAAATCTCCCATTTAAACAAAGAATAAACAACAGTAACACCACCAAATAAAGCCACAGGGAAGATATTACTTTTCTATACTTTTTATACACTATATATGTAATCATTCTGTCTTTCATTTATTTCCTCTGATAAAACTGACTCCAGGGAAGTCCCACAAGGCCATCTTGGCTGAAAGTTTATAATATTTAACATGAGTCTGGCTAATGCCCTGTTACGTTGATAAAAGGAAGGGATTTCTGATTTTCCCAGTGAAAGTCAGGGTTCTGGTTTTCCCAGTGAAAATGGGCCTCAGACTCAGCAGTGGTTGACATTCACTGTCAGTGCTGGCTGGCAGTTCAAGGTATTAGAATGGATATGTGATTGTTAGCAAAGCAGTTTTCTTTTTATCTTGGTCCACAGGTAACAAGAGAAGAGAATGGATTTTTAATATAAATTTTTTTAAATAATTGCTTATGACTCTTGTAAACAGTTTGGTTTGGTTTTGTATCGAAAAGGAGATCGAGCCATCACAGTGCTATTTCTAAAGATATAGGACATCCCTGATTGCCTTTAAAGGTCATTTTTGGCTCCAGTTCCAGGTTAAATCATTTATTTTTATATGATCAGAGGCAGGTGTTCAGCTTTAAATAGAGACAGACTTAAAGGAGGAACAGATTGAAGCATGAAACATGCTTCGAGGAAACATTGATTTGACTATTACAATTCAAAAACTGTAAAAATGGTGGATGGCAAAATACAAACAGTACTTGGAATTGTCAAATGTTTGCACTCAAGACTCCATGAACCATATATTTTATTTTTTAAAAAATCATATTTATATCCATTTACATAAGACTTACACATTTAAAAAGAAATTCACAGTAATACATAAATGCCTAGTATATTACAACATGAAAAAACAAGTGGCTCCATTTCATAAAAGCATCTGTTGTACAGAATTTATGACGTGGATGATGCTTATTATTCAAATGACTTAAGCATTTTATTACAATTGTAGTAAACTAATCAAGCTTAATATCTGATCCCCCCCAAAATCACATTTTTCAGCTTTTAACAAACCATTACTTGTTTTTATTTCCTTTGAATTCAGTCTTCACAGAAGTTTTCATAGCTTGTCTTCTTAGATGGTAGTGCACTTTAGGTAGAGTAGACAGAAAAGACGACATCTAAAATGTGTAATGGACAGCGTTAGTTCACCGAAAGGTCCCTGCCTGGTAAATCCCACCCCATTTTGTGCTGCGTTTCCACAAAGCCTGCCTACCACAAAGTAAGGGAAAGAAAATCACCTAGGATCTAACCAATCGAAGACGTCAGTGACATTTGCCCTTCTCCACTCTTGTGTTAATACGTAACAAGATTTGCTCAACTTTGGTTAAAGTATGTCAGAACATAAAGTATTCACGCAACATGTCAGCATGCCTCCTGAAAACTTTACAACTTGCTAATTAATAAATTGTGTTCAGTTGCCCTCGTCAATGGAAGAGATTTATTATTCTAGTTCATATAGCTTTTGGTTTTTGAAAAGATAATTTTAATTGTGACAAACATTATTGATAATAGATAATACATTTCAGAGGCTCTGTTGGTGTATGGCATCACAGAATCTTTCCAGCCATAGTATACTTAGGGAAGGTTCAAAGTTACTGACACAAATGAAAGAGTAAATAACATGATCTGTTAATTTTTTCATCAATAAGAACTAATTTTCTTAGACTTTTTATGGATAAATGTCATTTGATATTCAATAGCAAGTGCTAGGAAATATGAACTAGAATGCCATGCATAAGAAACTGATTGCAAATAGTTAAAGAATATTTCTATCCATCAGTCAAGAGCTAAGAAGCAAGCACTATTGAACATATTAAATAGTCATTTGTGAATTAGTGAAGTATTGAGAAAATTATGTGTAGAATCTATTATAAACAGTATTTTGGAAAGCCTCTTCTTTAGACATTTTATTATATGCCTTAGATTGTGCTTAATTAGGTACCAAATTGCACACTGTAATTAAAATTTTAATGTTATGGTTGTATTTCTTGAAATTAAAACTTGTATCTAAATGCCATTTGTTATATCAGTTTCAAATAGTGACCCAAATAAGGCAACCTATTAGATCCCATGTGAGACCCAAAAGACCAACAAAAAATCGGGTGACACTTATAGTTTCAGTCCCAAAATAAACAGTACAAAGAGAGCTGCTTCCCCACTTATTCTGATGCCTCCTCCAACCCTCTTGGTTGTCAGTAAAACTTTAAAAATATTTTTCATAGCATTAATGCATTGAGAAATCCCACAGTATTTTGGTAAAGCACAGTTTAGTTTGAAATAATTTTTGCACCTTTAAAATTTATGAATTTAGAATACTGTAGCTCTGCTTATTCAAGTTTTCAATAAAAATGTCATTTTATATGAATTTAGGAGTATCTTCCAGCAACTAGTATTTCTGTAAATACAAATGTCTTATATATTATGGTCTTATGTTGTACTGTTCCTATCTTCCACTATTACTAAGTGATTTTATGTTTTTAGTCTTCACATACTTAAAATTCATGCTTTTTCATAGATATGTACCATTGATAACTGACAACAGCATACTGAAAGTTCATTTTCACAGTTTCTACTCTTGTTATTAATAGGAATCCACCCCTAAGTCATTTTACTGTCTATGCCATTCTTGGATTATGAACTTCCTTAAATCCTAATATGCCTATTTTGGTTTCCCTGCATAAGATAGCCACTTTAAATTATATGATTCTCTAAGTAACAAACTCTTGTTAATAAAATGTGAGGGGGTCAATATGAAATGCTATTAAAAAGTAGAATACAATATGGTAACAACCCATTGATGTGTAATAACTGAAAGCCGGGCCTCATCTGGACCTGAAACCACAGCAGACAGGTGATGATAGGAAGTAACAAATGGAGTTAAAATACACAGATTGCTTTTCCCCCCTCTATCAGTTCAAAGGGGTTATCTCACCTCTGTACTGCTAGGCCATACCAAAGGGCATAGTGTATATTTACTAGTCTATGTAGTTCCGATTTTTGTTGTTGTTGGCTTGCTGTTTGTCAGCCAAAGGGAAACTACTCACAGCAGGTCAGTGCTGTCTCCTTTGAGTGGCTTGTCAACATGAGTATGTGCGAACAGTGGAGTTGTCTAACCTCTGCAGCCTTGATGAAG